GAGTCCACGCATCGTCAAGTGGCCAAGGTTGAGAAACACTGCTTGAAAGTGATGCATGAGCGGACCCAGGAACATGGGAGTGGCCAGCTCAGACCAGAATCACCTTTCTTCTTCTCTGTTGATCCCCCATTCCCTGCCTGTCCATGCTTCTCACCCCTCTTCCCCGGTCTCTCTTGCCTCACTCCTTCATATGTTTAATTTCCATGCACTCGCAGGAAAAGCTTCTCTTTGAAATTATCCCTGCTGAAGCCCAGGTTGGAAAACTGTGTTCTCTCCTGTATTAACGTTTTGTGGTTTGTATATCTTGTGATTCACTGCATGTTCCTCTTTGCTGCACTTGTATGGATTAGAAACTCCTGCTTATTTTGCTTGAAAAACCAAGAAGGAGGGAGGGAGGGAGGCGAGGGTGGTGTGACTTCGTCGCTGAATTGGCTTTCCCTGATATAGCTCGCTGATCTCGCCAAGCGTTCCTTCTGGGAAATGCGGTTGAAGGACCCTCCCTTGGAGGGGCAACCGCTGATCATGCAGCCGGAACCTGGCATGGATCGCTGCTGAAATCTGTAGGACCTCTTGCAGTGTCCCTTTGCTCAACAGCTGTGCGGCTGAAGATTCTCCCAACCAGAATAATAAGGAAATGCTTCTCTGTGCCTCTGAACTGCAAAGTTCAGGCACATGGTGAAGGAATCTTCTAGGCACACCACCATTTCCTTAAGCCAGATACTCAAGTCCCACGAGTAGGCATATCTGAAATTTCTTGCTGGCACAGGGCTTGTATGAAAATGAAGTACCAATAGAAGAGAAAATGTGTAGCTCAGGGATGAACTGTGGAGTCCTTGGTGCTCTCTGAGCTTGGGGGTTTCTTGCAGACGTTTCGTTACCCGACTAGATAATATCATCGGGGCGAGTGAGTGTGGGATTTGCTCTCTGTTTATATACAGTAGCTTGGCCTGCCAGTGTTGGTGGGGAAGAGGTTTTCTCCTTGGTAGTTAGTGTATTGTTTTCTGCTTAATTGTTTGTCTGGTGCTAATCCCTGCTTATCTGGGTGTTGGTTGCTGGAGGGGGTGCGTTCTGGTCTTTTTGTTTCCTTCCTAGGTTTTTTACTGTCTCTTGTGGATGGTGTGCAAATGCAGTTTGTGTGTCTGTTGATGGCTGATTGTGGGTGATATTACCTAATTGGGTCATGAGACGTCTGCAAGCAAACCGCCCAACTCAGAGAGCACCAAGGACTCCACAAAATTAAGTCCTGCAGGTTACTTAAAAAAGACATTGCCTCTCGAACATAGGTGGGCAGGCTTTTGGAAAAGGCACCCCATTCCTGAATGTATGGCAGTGATTCTATTTATTTTATGTCTTTGTTAGCCACCTGAAGTGCCTGTGGGTAGAAAGGCAGGATTTAACTTGAATAATTAATTTACAGTAATTTATATCCAACCTTTCCTCCAGGAGTTCGCGGCCGTGTCCGTAGCATCACCCTCTTCCAGTTTTTAGTTCTAAAAGCTTGAGGGCATCTGGAGAAAGAAGGAAAGCAAAGTTCTGTCTTGATGCTACACGTGATTCCTCAGTATTTTGTGTCAGTTGGATAGTTCCTGTCACAGGACGTAGATTGAGTCGTCGTGGGGTGGGTGAGGAAGACTGAATATGGGAAAAAGGCCCCAGAAGAGCAGATAGGGGTCTCCTAGTGGTCTTCTGCCTGAGAGTCATGCCAGCCTGACTTGATTTACACCCTGAGTAAGAAATATTAACATTAGGTATAAATTTATATTGGGTATTTTGAATAGTTTTGCAGAGGCAAGATATCCTTGAGTGCTGAAAATAAATAAATAAATAAAATGTGGAAGCCATTCCACAGTATGATCATCTGAGACCACACCTTGAAAAGATTACATGGAGAACCTACTCCAGTCAACCCCAGTGGTTAATAGGTCATTCCAACTCCTCCTGCTAACTTGGTGGTCTCTTCCCATATTTTTCTACCCTAGAGATGATGAAAATCAGCCTGGGATTCTTTGCTCCAAAGAAAAATTTCATCCGACCTAAAACACCGGATGTAGATGAAAAGCTAGTTTTACATGGGTTTGGCTGCAGTTACCAACCTCTAATAAAAAGATATGTTTTAATAGCAGTCGAACATTGATAGATGATGATAAAAATAATTAGTTGGGAGAAAGTTTTCCATCCTCCTCCCCTCTCCCCCAAGTTTGACTCTTCTCTACATCTGCAACTGGTATGCCAAAAACCTTTTCTACATGATTTCTAGATTTTAAGAAGCTTCCGCGTAGATGCCTAAATGTTTGTGGCTTATCTTAGAAAGCCAAATAAAGTTTGTGGATAATCTCTGCATTCATTCAAGCCCTAATCCTATAAGCATTCACTGCCATTTTAAGGGGTAAATTGGGAAAAAATGGCCAACTCAATAGGATTTTCCTAAAAACTACCAAGAGCCTCTTGCTATATTGTAGATTTATCCACTTCCAGCTGTGGGTGGTTTCCATGACCTTCAGAAGCTACAACCGGAAGCGGGACTCTCTTAGCGATGGGCTCATCCTAAAAACAAAGCAAGGGATTTTTCTGGCCTGCTCATGTTTCCAAGCTGGCCACGTTGGTAGGGATGATAAAGACCGTCCATGGCTAGGTTAGGGGAATGCTGCCCTAGAGTTAAATTATGATGTTCTTTAATTTTAAGCCCACCCTGCAAATGTGCACGCTGGAGGCTGGCATGTGTTCTGTTCTGTGAAAAGCCCTTGTTTGACGGCTCCCTTCAGAATCCGCTCAGTTCCTTTTCCTTGCCTGTCTCTGCCTGTCCGTCTCGCTCCCCTTCCATTTTTATGTCCACCTTGGCAGCTTCCTTGATGTGAGCAACAGCTTGCATTAGGCCCCCAGCTGATCCTGTCCTGGAGAAGCAGCCACACAGCATCCGCTCTCCAAACGCAGGGCGAGTCAAGGACCAGTCTCACAAGACGCATTTTTCCTACAGGGTGTAGAAAAACCACAGAATTGCAGTGTGGCGATTATTGGTCGGTAAAAGCTATGCAAGGCACATGTTGGTGTATGTTCAGGGGGGTCTCGATGCTGTTTTCCAGTCATGAGCGATAGCAACATAGGGCTTTCCGTGATTTATGATTGAAGGTTTATTTTTGCTTTAGATAAATGGCCATGCTGAATTATTGGTGATACAGAAATCTTGGTTGACAGTCAGAGAGGCACCTGTTTCTGTTTTGTTCTGAGTTACAAAACTGTCTCTACCAAAGGCAGAGGTTTTACAGCTTTTTTTGGACTCTGTGACCTGGACCCTCCCCCCCAAAGTAGGAAGAAAATCTGGGGGCATTGAAAGAACCAGTGCCCCCAGTGCAGAGAAGATCTTGGAGATGTCCCATGAAGAACCTTTTTAAGCAAGTCAGCTGAGTATCTCCAAACCATTCTTTCTTCTCTGCGTTCCTACTTCCCTTTCACTGCTAAACTGAAGCCTGGGAACAAATTTACAAAAAGCAGTTTTACACACGGACAAAAGTGTTGTGGAGAGCAGGGGAAGAGCACAGAGAGAATCTGGGCAGTTTATATCTCTGGAGGATAATATATTGCTGAAGATTGGTCTTGGTGTGATGCAGATTTTTTGGTTGAAAGTGGACGCCAAGAAAGGAGGCATATTTAAATAATACAGAATGTGTGTCACATTTTCCTACATGCATTCTTTCAGGGCAGGGAAAAACCATTGTAACCAGCCCTTCATTTTATTTCCCAGGATGCTTTTATGTGACTGGTTGGAGATGTCATCAAGTCATCCTTCTGTTATTAGCAACTGAAGTAAGCTATAGGGAGGGGTCCTGGCCTCCTTCTGTGGGGTTTCACGGAAATGGAAAATTCTTGCCTGAGCCTAAAACAAGGTCTTCTCGGGGAAAACTGCACTCTTCTTGACCTGCTCAGCAAAAAAAAAAGCATTTCATAAATGTCTTCATTGTAGCACTGGTGAATAATGAGGTTGCTGAAGCTCACAGCCGCCTGGTTATGAACATAAATCTCGCTCCTTTCAGGAGAAGTGGAGGAGGAAATACTTAGGAGCGTTTGCAAAGAGCAGGGAAAGTGCCAATGCAGAGGGGGCAACACAGCTTAAAACAGGGTGGCCATCACAAAAAACAGAAGCAGATTACTAAACAACCCCTTTGCAGGAGACGTTTTTTACTGTAATCGGAAGCAGGGGGGCAATAAAAACGCTGTGAATTTATCCCTGTGTCAATTACTATAATGCAGGAAGGTGCAGTGAGATCTTCAATCAATGTTTGGGCTCCCAGATGCTGATTTTTGCAAAAGACTGATCGTTTCTTTTAGCCAGCTCCATATTTCACAAAGACTAGCCCAACCGCGTCATGAGCTGGCCATATCCCAAGTGAATGCTGCAAGGATGTTCTCAGACAGCATTTGCTAACTTTTAAGGGCCACGCGTGTGTCAGAGAATATAGGTCGAATTAGGGTAGGTAGCAAGGCAAGAGTTAAGGGGCAGAAGGGGCTGACAGTCCCATCAGCAGCAGCAAATACTGTAACCAGTTTATCCCCTGAAAGAAAAAAGCGATTTGATAAGCTACCAAGGCTGCTGAATTTGCGCTTAGCCTCTGAAATTTCCTTTTCTGATTCCATGTCCTCTTGGGAATCGTCCCCCCAATATCGCTAAGGGAGAAACCCAGGGAAATGCTGAATCCCCACGCTGTACCACACCATCCAGGTTGAATTTTGGCCCCACTTTGATTTAACATCTATGTCAACTCATTAAATGCTTGAGAGACTCTGCTCTAGGTTCCCCAAAGCATAAACACCTCCCTATTCTATTGTATGCACACAATGCAGCAATCTGTTTTGGTTTGGTTTGGGTTTTTTGACCCAGGTTGGACTTAGCATACTAAGTTAATTTTGCATCAAACGGTAGCATTACCCCAAATCCAAAAGGATGGTATTTTTCTAACATTCCTAAAAAAAAATACAACTGATTCATAGACAAACGTTCACTGAAACAGGTCAGTAGCGTTGAGTCCCTACAGGTAGTTCCTCAAACTTCTGGATGCCAACCAGCGTATATCAAATATGCCACTTCTGTAGTCCAGAGCAACAGGGTGACTCTTTTAAGGTTCAAGAATTAGGATGGGAATTTTATGCCTACAGCTTTTGAATTGTTTGCTGCGGAAACAGTGGGGCAGCTTCTCTATGGTGTGCAACTGCAACGCTGTATATATGAAAGAATACACTCACACTTTTGAGAGCCCTATTTTCAACACCAGGATGACCCCACTCAGATTGAGAGGCTGGGCTGCCTAGCATAGAAACTAGAGCTTGGTAATTCATTACATGTTCCTGGCCCCAAATCAATGTACCTCCTACAGCAGTGTTTCTCAACCTTGGGAACTTGAAGTCCACGCGTCTTCAAGTTGCCAAGGTTGAGAGACACTGTCCTACAGGGCTCCCACACTTTTAAGCATGAGACATCTTGCAATCCAAATGATGCAGAACCATATCCAGAAAGTTGCTCCATTTGGGGATGTCTCCTTTTGAGGGCATCTGGTCCCACAAAAGAGAAGAAAAGGTGTATCAACAGTCACGAACAATTTACTGTATTACAGAGACAGGAAGGACCCCCAGCTCTATATCAGCAGTAAGGTAATCAGCCAGACCTTCTTGCTGTCAACCCTATTCTAGGTTTCTTAAACCCAAGGATAGACATTCTCTTTAATATGATGTTAAAAATAACCCTTTTCCAACTTAAATTCCACACCCCCAATAGTTTTGGTCTCCAATGGTGTCTTCACGGAGCAAATCTGAGAACATAGGGATGAAAAGTCAAGCTTGTGCCTAACTTGCTTCTGCTCTCCTCTGCTCTTTAATCCCTTCTTACTAGCTCTCTGCCAGAGGAGAAGAGCAAAAACAGCAGCTCCTTGGAGGCTTGTCCCAAGCCAAGTGAGAAGCAGGACATGGAGCAAGCCGAGATCGACCCCGAACGCAAGCGCAGTCGGGCCAGGGAACGCCGGCGAGAAGGTCGTTCCAAAACATTTGACTGGGCTGAGTTCCGCCCCATTCAGCAAGTCTTGGCTCAGGAGCAAGCAAATTTGGCAGAGACACTCAAGGACAGCTCCGCTCCTCTCCCCAAGGAACCCGGCCCCTTAGAGACAGAGCCCGGGGAACTGGAGCGAGAACGTGCCCGCCGTAGAGAAGAGAGAAGGAAGCGCTTTGAACATCTGGATGCCACTGATGGGGGAAGCCCAGAAGACCTCTCCAGGATGGAGGTGGACAGGGTTCCAGGGCTGCAGGCTGCTTCAGAGGCCAAGTCCCAAAATGTCCATGTGGAGATCGAGCAGCGGTGGCATCAAGTGGAGACCACTCCTCTGCGTGAGGAGAAGCAGGTCCCCATTGCCCCATTACACCTTGCTCACCCAGAGGACAACAGTGAGACACTTCATAAGCAGCACTTCACCACGCTCCTGGAAAAGGAGGTAATGTGGAAAAGAAAAGAAGGGTGGGTGGGTGGGTGGGTGGATGGATGGATGGATGGATGGAAAGTGGGTAGGACCACCGGAAGTCATAGCAGCAGAGTCGCTGGTCCTGGGGAATTGTCCTGGTTTGAAAGAAGAGCTGGTGCTTCCCTTGCTCCCACTGATCCTTTTGCCCTTCCATTTTGGCTTTTGTCCACTTTTGTTTAAATGGGAAGTTCTTGGGGCACGTAGCTCTTCAACTGAGTTGGTGTTCCTTTTTGAAAATACACCCTCAAAGCCCATGATCTAGACTGGGTTGGTTAATGCTCTTGAATGTTGTCCTTCTGCTTGTTTCTTAAGTAGGAAAGAGTATTTTTAGGACCTCTCCCTCTCTTCTGTGGGGGAAGGAAAGGGCTCCCAAACACTAGGGAGTTTTTTTCCCCCTGAAGTTCTAGCTCAGTGACAGTCCTAAGGAGGCTGAGAGAGAAATAAAGGGGGGGTTCCTAGTAAGTCTCCACCGACCCCCCCCCCCCCATGTGTAAATCATCAAGAGACGAGTACAAGGTACATCTTCCAACCAACATGTAGTCTAGCTGCAAGGTTTGCTAAGAGCAGCAGTTCCTGGGCATCTCCATTTTTAATGCTTTCAAGATGGTGGCCTCAGTCTGATTGAATCCATGAACTAAAGAGAGAATTAAAGCATGGGGGTTGAGAGCCACTTGCTCCAGCCCAGCAGGAAGGCAGCTGTTGAAAAAGGAGGGGCATCTTCAATCATCCAGTTCCTCCTGAGAGTAATTTCTCCCTCCATGCCTCATCCCATGTGTTCTGATCCATTTTACACTGGACACCCCTTCCTTTCTTCCTAGAGTTTTGGTGCTAAGAAAAAAGTTGCGAGTGGGGAGAGTGCGCAAGGGGGTTCCCATGGAGAGTAACATTATTTGGAATCTCGGTAACATTCCCTGAATTAACAAAAGCCTCGTTTGGAAGGCATTCTGAGCCTCAAAGAAAAGAAGCTCCCGTTATGTGGTTCGGAGGAGGAAGTGCTCTTGGGGGTCCCGCTCCATCCTTGTTTAATGCCTTCTGTGTTGTGCTTTCAGCTGGAACAGAGTCAAAAGGCAGCTTCGGAACTCTTGGAACAGAACCGTGTCCTACAAGACCAGCTAAAAATAGCTTTGGGACGTGAACAAAGTGCTCGAGAAGGTTATGTCCTGCAGGTAGGAGGGAGAAAGAGACCAGGATCTCTGTTTGTGGTGGTCAGTTGGGTTGAATTCATGGGGCTTCAGTTCAGGATGCTTGCAAATATGCCTAGAACGATAGATGACGTTTGCCAAACCTTCATTTGCGGAGGAGGATGCGTGATGCGGCCAAGTGAATTTTGGTGTCATCCTTTTCTTGGAAGTAAGTGCACAACACGCTCCCCTTTCATTAATATATGAGTGGGTATTCTGCCAGCGTCTTGTGCTCTGTGTCGAGGGAGAACGTGGATTCGCTCTTCTGTAGCATCCAGAAGCTCGAGGAAGGCGAAATACCATTCTTACGAGGATAGTAAGAATATGCAGAAAAAGCAATTCCAGGGATGTTGGAGGGGAGGTAACAAGGTAGAAAACACCACTTCAGATGCCTGGAAAGAAAATGTTTTTTCTGAAAAGTCCTGACAGCTAGAGAAATGACCTTTTTTTAAACATCTGTGGCATGTTCACAGGCCACTCAGTCAAATCATCTATATTTCTAACTTTTTTGCATTTTTTTTCGCCCTGATATGACTGGAAGTTTTAAACTTCTCTTAGCAGGGTAACACCAGAAGTTGACTTACGTGGCATAGCTTATGATGGCCTTTTGACCACAGTCCCTTCGTTTAAAATAATAAAGTTCTTAGTACACTAAATTGCCAGTGAAAAGCTAAACTGCGTTGCCGATAAACTAGTGATATTGGCTGTCCGATTCTTTTTTTTTTTCAACTTTAAAAAAAAAAAACCCTTTTGAATGGTTGCCTTTATGCTATGCAATCCTGGAGACAAATTGCACGTTTGAAGCTAGCAGTAAGCATTTTGTCCCATAATAAAACGTTTTTAGCCTTCTCCCTTTTCTGGTTAGGGTTAGCATTAGGGTCAACGTTGCAAGTTTTCCTCCCGTCCAACCTTCAAGACCTGTCCGGGGCCTGATTGCACGCATGTTGAACTGGAGCCCTTTGTTGATCTCTCGTAATGGAACTTTTCTTGTGTATCTCCTGCCTTGAGCCTGATTGTGCTCTTCAAACTCATTTTTAACAAAAATTGAGCATGACTGTTTTTTCTCCTTCTCTCAAGATAACTAGCTCCTTTTAGGGTGAAGGTGGGGAAAATCACTCTACTAATCTTTCTTGGGAATACAGCACCATGCATGGGGGATTGTTCTGCTGTGAAAGCATGTATCTGAGTGTCACATCTGTGGACTGTCCCTTCCAGCCATCACAGGACAGCGAGGCAGGGCCAGTGATTAGGCTGAACGCTGCGCTTCTTATGTTTGTGTGTTCTCCATGCCACCAGCCTTCTTTCCAAATTGTTGCATGAATCTCTGTAAATTCTTCTCTCCGCATGAATCATGGCTTTCATTTGCATCTCTTCAAGGATTCCTTGTTTGGACTTCTTTTCACGTTTTCATCTTACCTCTGTCTTTCCACCCTACTTCTCTTGATGTACAGGCAGAATAAAACCTAGATAGATCTAGAACCTCAACATTAAAACTTCATCTACACATTGTTTCGCTAAGAACAGAAACTATAACATGCTTTTTTTTTCTCCTAAGAAAATCAGGGCAGGAAGGAGTTGGGTGGGTCAGTTGTCACCAGCTACGGCGGGGCGGGTGGAGGGAATGGACAGTTGTGTGGTTTCTTGGGTTCCATTGTTCTTCTGGGACTTTATTAGGTGAAGCTTGGCATTATTGTTTGCTTGCTGAAGACGCTAGATTGAAATCTGGATACGAGACACACAACTCAGCAACTACCGGACAGACTTAGGGTTGGAGTTTATTCAGTCCTGAACATTGGGACAGGAAACTGACAGAAACAAAATCCCAGAGCAAAATATACATTTATTATTATTAATTAAATTTGCATATCGCCCCCAATCCCAGCAACTCGGGGTAGTTCACAAGTCACAACGTTAAAAAAGAATAAAATGGTGTAATAATAAATAAGAACAAAGCAATAAAGGAGAGCAAACCAGACAGGAGCAAAAACAAACCCAGACAATCCTCAGTCACCCTCACCAAGGGCTGGGGTGAAGATCCAGGTCTTCAAGGCCCTTCGAAACACCAGGAGGGTGGGGGCCAAACGGATCATGGAGGGAACCTCATTCCAGAAAGTGAGCACATTTCTGGCACCCATTCCTAGCTCAGCTATGAACCCCAAAGACAAGATTTATCAGGTGGGTCTTTCCAAAAGGTGTCTGCTGTTTCTTAGTGTATTGCTGGCCATCCCTCCCCCCTTCTAGTTTCCATTCTTTCTCAAATCTTTCCTATACTTATCTTATACCATTATTTTTCCTGGTGTCCATCTTTTTTTTTCTCCCCTTTGTTTATTCAAGTTGTTTCTCTCAGGGTCTTTTGTGTAAAAACTTGTGGTGTTTATCATCCATGCTGTCTATTAAGTTGGAAGACGTTCTCCCTATTTTCTTGAACAAAAGAGGGTTTGTTTCTGGCCATTTTTGCAAAACCAAAAAACGGAGACTGTTCAGAATTGGAGCTGAAAGGGAGCAATCAAACCTGTTCAACAAGTTCTATGGCCTAAACTTAACCAGAGATGTGACACTCAGAACTGGGCGCCAAGAATGCTACTAATTTCCTATTTAATTAATTTTCTTTTAAAGACTGAGGTGGCCTCATCCTCCTCAGGGGCTTGGGAGAGGCTCCATAAAGTCAATAAAGATCTCCAGAGTGAATTGGAAGCCCAATGTCAGCGCCAGGAGATGATCAATCAGCAGATCCAGTCGCTTAAACGTAGCTATGGGGAGGCCAAGGATGTCATCCGGCATCATGAAGCAGAGATCCAGAGCTTGCAAGCGAGACTTAGCAATGCTGCTGCAGAGCTGTCTATCAAGGAGCAGACCTTGGCCAAGCTGAAGAGTGACCTGAAGGCCGAGAAAAAGAAAGCTGAAGAGCAGATGGAAGAATGGCAACACAGTGAAACAGCTCTGAATTCCCAGCTGAAGGCCAGCGAGCAGAAGCTGAAGAAGGCAGAAGCTCTCCTATTAGAAAAGACCCAGGAGCTAAGAGATCTAGAGATGCAACAGGCTTTGCAGAGAGACTATCAGAAAGAAGTCCAGCGGCTCCAGGATCGGATTGCTGATCTGAGCTTGCAGCTGAGTGCCAGCGAGCAGTCCCGAATGCTGATGGAGAAGAAGCTCCAGAAGAATTACGAGTCTTTGCTAGAAAGCTGCGAGAGGGAGAAGCAAGTTTTGATCCAGAGCCTGAAGGAAGTGGAAGATAAAGCCAACGAATATGAGAACCAGCTTCAGAATAACGAGCAACAGAAGGAAATCCTGCTGAAGGAGAAGCTGACTGCCAAGTTTGAAAGCAGTGAAATAGTCCACCAACTGGAGGACCAGCTAGAAATGAAAGAAGCCAGCATCCGGAAGCTTGTTGAACATATCAAAAGTCTTGAGGAAGAAAGGGATCAAATTAAATGCCGATTCCAAGAGTTGATGAACCAAGTTGCAGAGTCAGATAACGAGGTTGCCAAGCTGCAAGCAAAGCTGCAGCTGGAGGAGAACAGCTACCACACTCTGGAGCGTTCCTATGAGGTGGTGTCGGAGCAGTTCCATAACTTGCAACAGATTTTGAAAGAAAAAGAGGAGGAGTTGAGACAAGTGAGAGACACGCATTTGAGCTTTGTTGAGAAGAAGGATCGGGACTTCATTGAACCTCTTTTAAAATTGGCTACTACTGGTAGCAGTCGAGAGGAAAAAGAAGATAACCTGGCCAAAGAAGATGGTTTGAAAACATCAGCTGATGGAAGTTCTGTGCTGAGTGTTGCAACAAACACAGCTGATAATGGTAATGTTGAAGATTCAGTACAGTATTCCCCGAAGCAAGGAGGACTTCCAGCTCAAGGATGCATGCTTATTGATGATAGTGATGAAGGACCCAGTCAGAGGCAAATCTGTGGACATACTGTGGTGAGCATAGAAGAGTGTTGTTCTCCATCGAAATCAGTAGATCTTCAAGAAATAGAGGTTTGTCAGAAAGATTCATCAAAACTTGATGCAGAAATTCCAGGAGCCAAAAGGCAAAGGATACGTTTCTCCAGTATCCAGTGCCAAAAATATATTCATCCTGATGGATCGGAGAAGATGTGGGCCAGCAGCACGTCTTCCGACACTAGCCAGGAGAGGTCACTTTCGGAAGAAAGTATGACTTCAGAACCAGCTTTTTGTTATCCAGCTTCAGGTGATTCTGAGACCTACTTATCTATCATTCACTCCCTGGAAACCAAGCTTTATATCACAGAAGAAAAACTCAAAGATGTAACTATGAAACTCGAAAGTCAGCAGGGCCAAAATCAAGACACTCTTATCACCCTTCACCACCAGTGGTCCAGCATTGAAGCGCAGCTTAGAGAACAGCTTCAAGACAGCTTGAGTCAAATTAGAGGGTTGGTTTCACAGGTAGAAAGTGAGAGGCAAGAAAAGCTCAAATTGCATGAGAGCCACATTCATGAGCTGGGCAGACTCCATGAAAATACTAGCCGAGCATTAATCTGTTTAAATCAGTGCAGGGAAGAGCTAAAAAGCGTATGCGCCTCTGAAAAAGAAAAAGAGGAAGAGATGTTTTTGGATGCTCTGTCCAGTATTGAAAGTACTTTAATGGATGCAATCCAGATGTTACAAAAGGCGCTTCCTCCACCTGAGTGCCAACCAGAAGAGCTTCCTGCAGTCCAAGCTTTGCAGACTAAAGACATCTGCTGGGATGAGGAGAATGCTTCTCCACAACAGATGCACCAACTGGGATTTTCTGTACAAGAACAGTTGAGGTTACTTTCCAGGAGGGTGGCTTTCGAAGCCTGCTTGATCAACCAGATAGCAGAGTCTTTGACAGATGCCTCTTCAAAGATCTCTCTGACTCTTAGAGAAATTCATGCTACTATAGATGAAGTCTTATTGGAGCCTTCAAATATTTCACATACTGCTGTGGCTTTGGCTGACATCTTGTCTAAGAAGCTGTTGTTGGAAGATGAGTTTTGGAGTCAGGTAGAAGAAGTAAGGAAGCACTTGAGTGTCAAGGAAGAAGATGAGGAGGGGAAAGTGGAGACTCTGGACTTCCCGCAGTACCTCATTCACTCAGTTACAGACAGCACGCTGGTTAAAGCAGAGCTAGGCTTTGTGGCTCAGAAAATGAGGGAATCCTTCCATCAGAGATTAAAAGCCATGGAAGAAGACCTCCACAATGCCAAAACGGCCCTTCAGCAGCATAAGTGCATGTTGGAGGAAATCATTAAAGCGTACAAGACTCCCGAATTTGATGGGATTATGCATCAAATCTCCAAAGCTCTTGAAATCCAAGAAGGCACTTCGGAAGCATCCCAACCAACTTGGAATGTCAGACTTCAGGACCACATTTTGGAAGCCCATAGTTTGCAGGATCTCAGCAGTCAAGCTCTGGCTGCTATTCAGGATGATCTGGCTCAGCAGCTCAAAGACAAAGCCAACGTTCTTAAAGAAATTGCTACTGCTCTTCTGTCTGTGTCCCCTGACAACGCCTTGAAAGATTGCCAGAAGCTCCTAAAAATTTCTTGCAGTCCTCCTTATGAGATGTGTATGGGGGATCTCGAACGCTACTCTTCTCTGCTAGTTCAGGATGCGATTATTCAGGCCCAAGTTTGTTACGGGGCCTACAGAGCAAGGCTGGAATACACAAAGGAAGCAAAGCTGTACAAAGAGTCTCTGCAAAATATGGATGCCTTATGTCAGGAGCGCATACAGGCAGTCGCCGTCCTCAGAGAAGAGTATGAAGGATTGCTCCGAAAACAGCAGAGTGAATTTGCTGAGATGATTGCTATGCTCAAAAGAGAGAATGCAGACCTCAGAGCCAAAGTAGAGCAGCTTGACAATCAGCGAAGACTCCTGGAAGAGGAAGAACGTAAGCAGAGCCAAAAAATAGCAGAACTTCAGGGCCAGTACAACGAGGAGATGCAGAAGGTAGTTGAGCAGCTCAACAGGACTGAGGACACACTGCAGGCGGAACGAACTGAGGGGATCCATCAGCTGGATGCCCTTGTGCAAGATAAGCAGAACTTGGAAAGATACCATATTGAGCAAATGCAAAATTTAGAGGATAAGTTCCAGGTCAAGATGAAAGAAATCCAGGTCCTCCACGATGAGGAACTGCAGATCTTGCAGGAACGCTACAACCAGGATCTCCAGTACTTAAAGGAATCTTTGGAGGAGTATCAGAAGAAGCATCCAGAAACCCTGGCCAGGATCACCTGTGGTGCCGAAGCACAGGGGGGAGACCAGCATGATAGTGGAGTCCAGGTCTTGGGAAATGATCCAAATGCCCTACACGGCTTGAGAGAGCGCATTCAAGAACTGGAATCCCAGATGAACATCATGAGAGATGAGCTGGAGAACAAGCACCTTGAAGGGAATGCACCCACCTTGAGGGAGAAATACCAGAAGGACTTTGAGAACCTTAAGGTTTTTGTTTGTTCACATTATCTTGCTAAGTCATGTTTGTAAATGCTCCTTATGGCAATGTAATCATCCCCCCCTCTTTTTTTAAGAGCAAGCATGCTTTTTAACCAGGTGGCCAGCAGGCAGAATCCAGAGACGTCTGGTAAAAGCTTTCTGAATGCATTTCATTTTTTTAAAAGGCTGCCATGTGATCAGATTAGCATCCTACGGCATTGGATGCAGAATTTGAGTCCTTGGGATTAGGCACATAACTTGACATTTAGGAACAAATTCCCCATTTTTTTCAGAGCTGACATCATTTTCTTGACATTATGAAGATCAGGTCACTGAGGCGGTCCAGCTTAATCAAAGGGGACCTTCTGAAGATGAAGAGGGTTGGAGTGCAGCGTGCCAGGAAAGCGCCAGTTTAAGAGAACACCCTCTAGGTTGTGGACCACGTGCTGTCCTTGGTGGTGTTCTCTGCCCCTAGAAAGTCCTGCCCATCTCTCCCTGCGATTAGACCACGAGAAGCAGGGTGCAGTTTCTCTCCATTTACTCACCATGGAAAAATGTCTTCACTTGGTCAGGATCATTGCACCGGCTTAAAATCTGCCCACCCACATCCACCAAACAATTCAGGTCAAGGCTGCTCTTTCCCTGGGGCTCTAGAGCAGCGTTTCTTAAACTTTTTCTCTCTCAGGACCCCTTCCCACTTTTAAAAATTAGGGAGGACCCCAAAAGAGCTTTTGTTGACATGGGTTGTATTTATTGATATTTACCCTGTTAAAAACTAAAATGGACCCATTTGTTGGCACTACCGCTTCTCACGATCGTTGGATGGGAGTTTAACATTATATTATTTTTCAACATAGGCTGGCAAATAATTTTGATTTTGTGGACCCCTGAGAGGGGCTTCAGGGACCCCCAGGGTCCTCGGACCACATTTTAATGAACACTGGGCTAGAGGGGATGTTTGTATGGGAACAGGTAGGGGTCTGCTGCCCCACCCACTCCTGCAGATTGCAGAGGATTTCATGGGGACAGATACGGCCCTTTCTTCCCCAAAGCCTGCTAGAAGTAAGAGTTTGCTCTGAAAAAATCTTGCATTTCTAGCAGGCTGGAATCCAAAGTGATTTACGGAAGAGTTAGCATCATATAGAAGAGAAGCTTATGGGTTATCAAAAGCAGCTTTCAAGGAACATACATTTGAAAGATGAGATAAAATTAATCCAGGAGGAAAGAGCTCTTTCACACAATATCAGCAAATACATTGAAAGGCACTCTTTTGTTTCACCTCCCATCAAATAAGAAAAGGAGCTCATTTTCGAATAAGGAATCTAATTTGAGATATATTCTAATCCTTGTCTCCCCCCCTTGCAAACGCTTGTAATTTCACTAGGGTGTAAATAGGTAAATCTTGGTGACACCCCTCTGATTTGCAATACTTGCACACCATAAACAGGTCACTTGCCTTTTTTCCCCTTCACAATTACAACTCACAGCCTAATCTTAAGGAAATGAGGCTTTTGTTATTCAGACCACAGACTGATTGATCAAGAATTAATTGGCTGTGATAGGTTCCTGGTTATAAATAAGTAGCATTGAGAAAGGTATTGGTTAGGGAATCTTTACTCCCATGAAGTCCTACTCCTGGCAGACAAGGGAGGAAGAGGGCTTGAGTAGGGTTTGCAAGCTAGAATTAGAATTGTTAGTAGTGGCAATAGAGGTCTTTTTCCAAGTTCAAATGCCCACATCCTTTCAGAACCTTTTAAGGGACCCCTAAGGTAATACTTTCTTTGAACAGTTAGCTTTCGGATTGCTTCTTCCATTACAGTAAAGATTGGTGGTGGGGAATGCTAGATGTTCCAACCTAGCTAGGAATTTGTATTCCCCTCACCACATGGTTGTTCCTTCTGTGACCCGAGTCTTCTCTGTTTGCCAATTCCCCCTTTCCTCCAGACAGTCTATATAATTACTGGAGGTGTTTAAACTGGACTGTTGCAACCTTCTTTCTGACTTTCTTGAAGGCAACGTGCGAACGAGGGTTTGCAGCCATGGAAGAGACACATCAGAAGAAGATAGAGGACTTGCAAAGGCAGCATCAGCGAGAATTGGAGAAGTTGCGAGAAGAGAAGGACCGTTTGCTAGCTGAGGAAACGGCTGCGACTATCTCCGGTAGGTCGAAGGGAAGAGAATGCAGAAGATGGAGATGTGTTTTTCCTAAAACAGGCGTGTAAATCTTCCTTTCCTTTCTAGCCATAGAAGCCATGAAGAATGCTCACCGAGAGGAACTTGAGCGGGAGTTGGAAAAGACCCAGCGCTCCCAAATCAGCAGCATCAATTCAGACATTGAAGCTCTCCAGAGACAATACTTGTAAGGATTTCTTTGCATATTCTAGATTTGCTGTCATTGTCAAATGTTCATTGCCTTCTGGGGCCACATCGTTTGAATCCTATTTTGCATCGCTGGTGTTTTTGATACTGTATGCCTGTCTGCAACCTAACCCCCAACCCATTTAATTTTCCCTATCTTCTGAGGCTATGGAGGTGGTGACCATCACCATCCATGTGAGGTGTTAATCTGTTTCTAGAATCTAAAATTCTATTGTTAGTGTGTTTTATTTTTTTATTTTATGGGATGCTCCATAAGCCGTTGACTGCAATGGAGACATGTTTCTGCAAATAGATATATAAATAAAAGTGAGCAGTATATCCCTATGGGAGTAATCGTAAAAGTCCTGTTCTTGGTGCTCTTGAAATTTTCATGCAATAGAAGCTGTTGCGATGTACTAACTGGGACAGTCTTAAACTCTCAGCCTTTGAATAGCTCTGTCAGAGAAGCAAGTCTGAGTAAATATGATTTCAGCACTCTAGGTTTAACTCTGTATTTAAAATTTGAATTGCAATGATTTGCATAAATATATATCTGACACTTTTATATTGAAGAAAAATAGTGAAATCTCAAACATTTCCATATCTTTTTGTCTTGTTTTTAGTTTTTCAATGCTTACATACAGTTTTCTTTTTCTTCCTCTTTCATTCTTCTTTTCCTTTTTTTCAGTTAGTTTGGTTTACATTATTTTTCCTTTTATGTATATAGTACTTCCTACAGTAGAGTTAAATTGACCTAGAAATTTGTTAGCACAGATATCAACTGTAATATCTTTAATCTTTATAATGTTCCATTTACAAATTTAATTTTAAAAACTAATTGGGGCAATCCACTATGACCACCTTTTACTGACCTACCCCAGCTGGATCCCTGTTTATTCCCCTGGAATTCTGACCTACAAACCCTGTTCTTCTAGTTTTCAGAGCATCCAGGTTCATTGCAAATGGTTATTGTGATGTTGCAACAACTCATGATTTATTTTTGAGGTCACGGAAGGGTAACAGACAAATTTATTCTCACAGATGCACCAAAAAATGACCTACATTGTTCTGTGCTTTAAGAGAAATGAATTCCTCATGTCTGATTTGGACCAAGCTGAGTTTTTGGAACTTTTCAGATAATTTTTGGGAAACACAGAAGGCTTTTATCAGGGGGAAAAAAAATCTTATGTGTATGACCTTCCCAGTTCTCTACTGTCTTCAGCCATTCCTTGTACTTGATTTCTCCCCCACTTCCCAAATTTAATTTTCCAACACCAACCAGCAAGGAAAGAAGAAAACTCTACTAATCAATTCCTGGGATCTAATAAAGACCCAGGTTTTAACTCCCCTTTTTGTACATTCCTGGAAGGAAAGTTTTAAAAGACTTATGCATGCCTTAGATGGATTTTGACTCCGACCACTAAAAGCTAATTGAGGCGTCTCCATTTCAAAGATATTAAACAATCTTCAAATCCTCAAATTTGCAAACTAGGTGACACTGATTTTTTGGTTTTGCTGTACACGTGGCTAAAAGCAAGCATGATTGGATTAGCAAAAGGATTTCTCTAAGGGCTGAATGAAGGGAATAGCTCCTTAGAAGATCTGGGAGGAATCAAAACTCAGCAGTTACATCACTTGAAGGTTCTCATCTTCTTACAATCAATGGGTGTAGTTACTGCCTTCTCCTCCTCCTCGTCATCCTCCGTACCTGCCTAGTTAATTTAAGTTTGTTCTGGAATGGTCTTTAAAAAAAAAAAAAACTTTCTCCTGCTTTCTGCCATCAGGGAGGAATTGCAGTCTGTCCAGCGGGAACTGGAAGTCCTTTCAGAACAATATTCGCAGAAGTGCTTGGAAAATGCACACCTTGCCCAGGCTTTGGAGGCAGAGAGGCAGGCCCTCCGACAGTGCCAGCGGGAGAATCAGGAACTCAATGCGCACAATCAGGTGAAGCATTCCTGTGGTGTGAGAAAGTTTGCTTAAAGCAGTGTTTTTCAAATTCAGCCACTTCAAGATGTGTGGACGTCAACGCCCAGAATTCCATGCATCTTAAAGTGGCCGAATTTGAAAAACACTGGTCTCAAGGGTTCCTGCATTGTTTTGGAAGGGGGAGGTGTTCTGATCACATAGGTCTATTTATTCTGTACACTCAGTGAGGTAAAGCATTTCTATAGGATGAGAAAGTTGCTAGAAAGAATTCCTGTATTTGGGGTGGGAGTGATTTGATTATTTACATCTATTAACTCTGCACGCACAATGAGGTGAAGCATTCCTGTGTTGTGCAAAAGTTGATATAAAGGCTTCCTGTGTTGGATGCTAGGGTGGCATAATTCTGTTTATTCTGAGCCATAGCATATTTGTGGTGTCCTCATAGGAGCTGAACAACCGCCTGGCTGCAGAGATCACCCGGCTACGGACACTGCTAACTGGGGAAGGTGGGGTGGAAACTGTGGCTTCTCCTCTTACCCAAGGCAAGGATGCCTATGAGTTAGAGGTGAGTGGCTCCTCCTTATTCCAGTTCTCATCAAAGCCAGCAGGTATGCAAGGGAGTTACAAGAGTGAGCTTGGCTGCTGCCAGAAAATGTGGGATACAAATACCTGCCATGATGCAAAGAATTTTAAACATTAATATCAAGAACAAGCCAGAACTCGTTTTATTGGGACTTACGGATAACCAATTAGAAAAGACCCACGGAAGGCTGATTTTATATAGGGGAACTGCAGCACGATTATTATATGCGTAGCGATGGAGGAATACTGAAACTCCCACCATGGGGGAATGGATTGTGAAGATGTCAGAATTGGCAGAAATAACAAAACTGACCTGTTTGGTCAGAGACAAAACAATAAATGCTTTTATAAAAGACTGGAAACTTTTATGGACTTTTTGCTGAAAATGGAAAAAAAGTGAAGTGATGATTTATGGGTTTGATGATGGAAAAAGGATTAAATAAGGGGATGAAGGGATCTTTGTAATACCAAGAGGGAGGAGGGATAATGAGTTTGTTGAAAAGAAGGTCAGAAGTTGCTTACTTTTTCTTATTCTTGTTTCTTTAACTTTCTTTCTTTCTTTCTGTTCTTTCTTTTTCTTTGTATTTGTCTTTTACTGATGCAAAATTTCTTAATAAAATTATATATATATATATGTAATTTATATATATATTTTATATAAGTACAAATATATATATAATTATATATAGATGGCAGATTCTTCCTTTTCTCTCTTCCTGCTCTGGGTCCGTGCCTAACCTAAAAGGCATATCTCCATGACTTTCTCCCTTGCAGGTCCTGTTGCGAGTTAAGGAATCGGAAATCCAGTACTTGAAGCAGGAGATCAGCTCCTTGAAAGACGAATTGCAAACAGCATTGAGGGTAAGAGTTTAGAGCCAGATATAATTCTGTTTCCTTCAAAAACAGTAAGAGGTGATTTAAAAACCCCCGTTTGTACACCATTGAGCTAGGGAGGGCAGTAATCTTTGGAAGTATGCTTTAGGTGATGGCCTAGGAGAAGAGGAACCAAGAGGGTGAAGAAGAGCCAGAGGTTTTTCCAAGCTCCTAAAGGAAGCTGAGATTCTCTTGATTTATGCCCATTTCCCTGGTTTTTATGGTTCCAAAGCTATTGAGATCAATCTGCTATTCAGTGATATTACTAATTTCAGCAAAGTTACAGTGTCCTGTGTCTCTGGAGCACATTTGCTCTGTGGAGTCCTTGGCGCTCTCTGAGCTTGGTGGTTTGCTTGCAGATGTTTCATTACCCAACTAGGTAACATCATCAGGGTGAGGGAGGGTGGGGTCTTCTCCCTGTTTATCTACAGTAGCTTGCCCTGCCAGTGTTAGTGGGGTGTGGTTTTCTCGTTGGCAGTTCCTTGATTAGGGTATTATTTTTTGCTTGATTGTTTGTCTGGGGTTAATCCCTGCTTATCCGGGTGTTGGCTGCTGGAAAGAATGTGTTCTGGTCTTGTTTCCTCCTTAGCTTTTGTTAGTCTGTTTTGAATGGCGTGTAAATGTGGTTTATCTCTGTGTGTCAATTGATGGCTGATGTGTCTGAGTGCCAGGCTCCCAGGAATTCCCTCGCGTGTGTGGTGAGATTAAGGAGTTTTCATTGTGTCTTCTGACTGCTAGTTGTTTGTGGATGCACTCTGCTAGTGTTCTGCCTATCTGTCCCACATAGTAGCTGTTACAATCCTTACACTGTATGTTGTAGATGAGTCCTGTTTTTATTTCTTGGGCTACTGGGTCTTTTGGTTTACTTAAAATATTTTGGAGTTGCTCATTATGAGATCTACTTCCTTTGTTTAGGGCAGTGTTTCTCAATCTCAACAAATTTAAGATGTGTGGACTTCAACTCCCAGAATTCCCCAGCCAGGCTGGGGAATTCTGGGAGTTGAAGTCCATGTATCTGGAAGTTGCTGAGTTTGAGAAACACTGGTTTGGGATTTCAGAACTTCCATGGGTGACAGTATTCATCACCACCACTGAATTTGCTCTCTCCTTTCTCTGAAATGCTCCTCTGCTTGATTCAAATCAGTTCAAAGATTAAGAGAATACCAAGATACATGATTACATGGTTGGTTTAATTATATTTGCATTTCTGTTCTTTAACTGCTGTTATTCCTGTTTTATTCTGCCATTAGTGTTGAGAGCAGAGTGGGATTATAAATATGGTCAAATAAACAAATAAATATTGTTTTTATGGTTTAGAAAAAAGGGGGCAACTTTAGAGTATTGGTGGGGATAAGAAACAAAATATGTGTTTTAATGACAGCCAGATCCTGGGAAAGGTGGTGAGCTTGTTGAACTAATGGCTGTTGAAATTGTTCATAACTCCAGTTATCTCTTTTCGGTGGGATAAAAAGATCTCAACTCCATTTGCTGTTGTCTTTTCTCAAGGATAAAAAATATGCCAGTGATAAATACAAAGACATCTACACGGAGCTCAGTATCGTCAAAGCCAAGGCAGACTGTGACATCAGCAGATTGAAAGAGCAGCTGAAGGCAGCCACCGAAGCCCTTGGTGAAAAATCTCCTGAGAGCACCACCGTGTCTGGATATGGTAAGCCTTCAGTTCACCAGTTCTCTATTTCATATTTCAGGATGCAGAACCAAAGAAGGGTTGGGTCTGAGGACCTCGGGCGAGGTTTTCTGGAAAAAAGTTAGAGCACACTCATCATTGTAAGAACGATGAACACATTAACATTCCATAAGTCCCTCAAGACCTGGCTATGTGATCAGGCCTGGGGTTCCCAGGAGACCAGGGAGATTTTACGATGGCTCCCTTACTAATTTTATCCCCTCCTGTTTTGTGTGTTTTTACTGTTTTTTATATGTAGCTGTTTTTATG